ACATTTGGCTGTCAGTGTTAGTTTCATGAGAAAAAGAAATAAGATCATGCTTTCCTCCAGAGGAAGGATTTCTACTATGAGAAGTGATTGCAGCGACAATGGTTTATAAGGAGCTCACGTTTCCAAAAGGCAGGTGGTGATTTATTGCCAATATGCCAATTAGCATACACAATACTAACGTTGGTGCTGTCTACTATAAATAATTTGGGCCACAGTACTAAATGGATCTGATCTGAACTTGCCATAGTCATGCAACTGGAAAGATGACTCAAACCTTGTGTCGTTAATCCCAACTATGAACTAAAAACAATATGTCCCACATCTATTTCAGCTCTTCTGACAAAGGGTATACTGGTTTGTTTTTATTATTTATTTATTTATTTATTTATTTATTTACTTATTTGTTCATTGATGGATTGTACCAGGAATCAAATTCAGGATCTTGTGCTTGCCAGGCAGGTACTGTGCTGCTGAGTTATATCCCTGACCCTGTATTATTTTTCTGTGAGGTTTGTGTTTTAACCTGTAAGAGAAAATCTGTAGAGTCACATAGCATTCATTTAGTTTATCTGGACTGTTACTTCTCAAGCTAAAACTGCTAAGACTGGAAACCTAGATAAGGCCAGAAAATCTTTTCTTTTCTTTTCTTTTTCCCTCAAGAAGGACAAATGACTCTGTGAGTTCATTTTCTTTCCAGCAGGTTACAGATTCATGAAATAGGACTTATGCTACTTACTTGACTTGATTGCAGGCCAGTCAGCATGTTCTATCCTGTGATCTTCATACTTTATGTCCAAATAGGCAAATATGTAGCGAATAATTTCTGACCTCCCTTTCATATTGAAATAAATCAGTTTGTAGTTTGGCATGGTGCTATTCTGGAAAGACAAAAAGGGAGGGAATATGTTAATCGTTTTGAGAAAGGGTCTCACTCAGGCTGGCCTTGAATTCACTTTGTAGTCCAGGCTGGCTTCAAGCTTGCAGCAATCCTGCCTCAGCCTCCCCAGTGCTGGGATTACAGGCATGTGGCACTACACCTGACCTCAAAGCCCACTTTTTTTTTTTTTTTTTTTTTTTTTTTTGGCAGAGCTGGGGATTGAACTCAGGCCCTTGTGCTTGCCAGGGAAGCACTTATTCCACTGAGCCATCTCCCCAGCCCCACAAAGCCCACTTTTAAAAGAGATACTGATGTAGATTTGTATATGGATGATACACATAAAAGATGTTTAAACTAACACTAAACACTTAATATTAGCATTGATAGTAACTTTGAACTCTTGCACTACAGTCGAGAATAAACACAATGAATACAACATGCTGGTATAATAATCGTGGTAATGAAATGATTAAAAACATACAACAATTATTTAAAATGGTGAGTTAACATAGTATGTTCTTATTGCCTACCAAGGAAGTTTCTGAAAGATATTAATAGAATATTTGATATAATGAAAAGTTGGGCTTATACTTTAAGATCAAGTTCTATGTGGAATCATATCTCACACAAATGTCAACACAAACTGTAACAGTCTAGGCTACCCGGTGCAGACCCAGGCCTGTCTACTGAATTGATTTCAGGGAAGGTGTCTGCACATGGCTGTTGGTTGCCCTTCTGGACCCTCTGGGGGTGCAGGGAAAGTCAGAGTGCAGTGCTAAGCAAATCCCAGCCACTGAACCTGGCCTTTCCCCATCCAGGTGCTGAGCAGTCAGCTTGGCTGCTGGCTTGAAGCGAGCGTCCCTCAGTTATCTCATGTTCTCTCTCCCCCATCAGTGTCCACCTGGTCACATGGAGCCCAGGCCTCATCTGTGGGGAAATGGCATCCAAAGAGAATTGGCTGAGCTAAGGAAGAGCCTAACATTACAGCCCCAACTTCTTGGAGGGTGATGTAGAAAGGAACTCAAATAGGGAGAATTGGACATGCGGCCCACGGGATCAGGGGAGTGACGCCCAGATCCTCAGGAATGTTGACTGTAGATTAGGAATAGGGACAGAGCTACGAGAGCACCAAGTGCTGGATAAAAATGCTGCGTGTGGTATTATGATCAGCATTAAATGTAAACAGCTTTTTCTCATTCAATCAAATAGCACATAAATATTAGAGTCCGCTTCTTGAATTTTGTGCAAAAAGGGTCACATTTAACTTGCCAAGTTATGCTATTTTTTGATTTATTTTATTTTTAAAGAGAGATTTTAAAAGTAAACAAATAAAAGTGACATAAAATTTCACTAATTTGAAGACAACAGTATGCAATGCAACAACCGTTGTTGAATTCCTATCATTCTGTTTAGTGAAATTCTATGTCCTTGTTAGTTTACATTGTCTTCCACTTACACAAAGAAGTTAAGACTTCTCTGCAGAGGCGGGGGTTCTCTATCTTTCTCTGCAAACATATCTTTAAATCGAAAGACATGACAGAAGCTCAAGATCATCTGACGAATGCTTATCATTGCCTCTGGAATAGCCTTTCAACAGTTAGAGCTCAGTAAGGAAACTGCTGTACTCACGCATTGCGTTCCTCGAGTTCTTTCTACTGGCTGCTCAGCAAAATGTTGGGTTTCTTAACTCCAAGTTTAGAAATTCTAACTGTAAAATTCAAGAAACCAGGCCTTTTGCTCAGTGGAAAATATAATTACATTTTTAGGTTAGATGTGCACATTTGGGGCTGGTGAGATGGCTCAGTGGTCTAAATCACCTACTTGGAACAAGCTTAGCAAACCACAGGGACCATGGTTCAATCCCCCAGCACCACATGCCAGCCCGCCCTGCCCCCTGGTGGGCTGAGCTGGCCACACACACACACACACACACACACACACACACACACAAAGTAATCCCAGGGCCTCAGAAGGCTGAGACAGAAGGGTCATGAGGTCAAGTTTCAGCTTAGGCAATGTAGTGAGATCCTGGTTTAAAATTTAAAAATTCTTTTTTTAAAAAAAATGTTTTTTAAAAGTGATGGATGTAGCTCAGTGTAGCAGCCTTGGGCTCAACACCCAGTGCCACAAAACAAACAAATAAGCAAACAAACCAGAAGGAATCTTAAGTAAATAGTGCTTTGACCAGTGAAAACTGACAGGAAATTTCACAATAAATTCAATGAAAAATGTATAGGATGCTGTCTAGAAGATTATTTTTTCCATTTTACTGCCTTTAGCAATATATAAGCTGTGCTTGAAAAAGTGGCAAGTATTCAAAGTTTTAAATTTTTAAAAAATTTTTACAGTAAAAGGCACTTGGCCATTAATCCACCTCAAAATCCACCCTCCATCCCCAATGCTTTGAACACACATATTCTATCATTCTGGCCATTTTTGAAGCAGTTTAGGAAATCTTTCATGTCTTTAGGTTCACCGTCATGGCCTAAGTGGATTCAAAACATTTACCTTCACAGTTATTTGGACTTTGGGGAAGAGCCAGAAGTCATACAGCACAAAATCTTGTGAATCACATGGATGAGGATGCCTTGAGTTGTCTCATTAGCTGCCTTTCCATTGGATGGCTGGGTAGCAGCATCCACTGTATTCTTTATCATACCTCATAAGACAGTCATGAAAGAAGGCATCTAACACTATTCAGAAGGTGGCAAGAACCATCAGATAAGGGAGGAGAAGTATTTTAAAAATTTAAACATTCACTGTAGATTTATATCACCCCTTGTATCTCTGTTACGATAATCTCTTTTTGTTAAGGCATTTATTTCACCAAGACGGTGCACTAAAAGGGCAACAGGTAAAAGACAGCCCTACAGGCATGATGGGGAGCAAGTTCAGCAGTGGTCAGAGGGGAGACAAGGGGAGGCAATGTCACCCTTGCCGCTTACTTGTGTCTCCATGGCCTTGGGCCATTCTCCTGGTTCTAACTTTAGTTTCCTCTCCTGAGAACTGGTAGAGAAAACATTGTTTGTGAGGTGTCCACACAGTGCCTGACACATAGCATGTGTTTAAAAAGAGAAGGAAGAAAAAGAAAGAAAAATAAGACAGGAAGGAAGGGGTGGAGAGGACTCTTTCCTACAGTGGTGGGGGCTTTAGTCCTGTTTGGGGGAATTTTATTGTCTCAGCTCCTCCAGATCATGTTATCTGATGAACTCATCCTGATCCTACTGCTCAAAAATTAACTATAAAGAGAATAGTAAAAAATGAAAATACATGATTGGATTTAAAAAGCAAGCTAAGCATAGCCTCCTCCCAAAAGGAACAGGAACCCAGCACAGTGAGAAGGACCTGCTGCTGGGGGCTCAGCAGGGGCTTCACCCCTTCAGCAGGAAGGAGGTGTCAGAGTCTCCCATGTGGGAAAAGGCACCAAAAGGATGGTTTGTCAGAATCCAAGGCTTCTTCTGTGATATAAAATTAATGTCAAAATTGCAAACCTCAAGGAAAACTGGTAAGTGGAAAAAAATATGAATAGTCACAAAGTGGCACATTACAACGGGTAAAATAAGCATCTTAAAAATCATAAGTAAACATTACAAATAACTTCATACAATAAACTAGAACATTTACTTAATGGAGAAATTTTGAGAAATATAACATATATGTCAATTTCATAGATAAAGCAGTCAATTTATCACTCACAATAAATAACATATGGAAGGAGTAAAAGGAAAAACTTATCTGTAAAATGGTTATTTCTATTCAAAATGTAAAAGACTGTACCAATAAACCAAATTCTAAAGCTCAAATGCAAACCTAAGGACCATAATAGCCATTCTTAAAGCCTAAGTGCATCTCATCCATGGAAATAAGGTCTGGGTTCCTTGGCTATGGTTTAACAAAGTCTGGTTTCAATAGCCTAGGAGACTGTGCATTTCATGTAGACCTCTTACTTCCTGTTAGCTTCATTTCTGAATCTGTCATCATCATTCTGTGTTAAGAATCCCATGTAGAGAAGATGGTACATATTCCCTCAAAACAATACAGAAACATGAAGTAAAAAAATTGATTGTACATAAAGATTTTTTTCACAGCTAAAACTAATTCTTACTTTCCAAAGAAAGCCATGTAAATTTCCTGATTCAGCATGGCAATAGAAAGCCTATTTAAAATTGTTTGAATAATAAAATCATGTGAGTGGATGACTATTGTCTTCCCTGGATAGAACGTATGCATCTAACTAAACTCACATAGATGTAGCTATTGAATCCTGGAGATTTAGTGCTTAGTATATGTTAAGCTTGCTAGAGGTCAGGGATGATGGCCAACTCCTGTAGCCCAGCACCCTGAAGGCTCAGGATAGCGAGTTTGGATCCAGCCAGACAACTTAGTGACCTGGAGTGGTAGCGCAGTGAAAAGGCCCTGGGTTCAATCATCAGTGCTTCAGAAAACAAAAGCAAAAACTAAAAGAAAATGCAAACATTTTGGAAATTAAATATTTTTCATGGGAAATGATAGTATTTTTAAAATGTTATATCTCGGGTGCTTCCATCCTTTCTCCTAGGTTTGTAGCTCATTTTACTTTATATAATGTCCTATTTTTTAAATAGCTGATTAACAATAACAAAAACCAGAAAATAAGAGCATTTGATTCCATATGCAATTTCAACATAGATATTGATAAAATACAAATTATCATGATAAAGCCACTCAATTTTAACTAAGATGATACTAAATTTCACTAAATCTATATCTGCCGTGTGTATTGTTATAAGAGTACAGTAAAAGTAGTCTTAAAAATTCTAGTCTATGTCAGAAAAATAACAATTCAAATTTAATTTTCTGGCAAAGAAGGTTAATATTCAAGTATTTTGTTAAACATCTTAATAAAGATTTCAGGAGATAATAAAATAAGGGAGTAGAACTGTTGGAATGACTTTAACAGACAGAAAACTTACAAATGAGGAACTAAATTTTAGCCATTGTATAACTCAGTTCAAAATATTGCTTACTTAAGGTCTAACATAAAACATCAGGAGTTGAAATTTTGGGGGAACTTGTAGACACAGTTTTTTAGCTACCAAATAATTGTGTGATAATCTATGAGTTTCAAGAATAAAAAGATTACTTGAGAATTTGCTAACAGTGCTTCCTTAATCTAACCAACAATTGCTTCATAAGAAGTTTAAGCCTTTTTCATTTTTTAATAAGCCCATAGGAATTATATAACGTAGAGCATAACGTTTGTACTCCATTTGCATAGACACTGATATTTTGTAATATAAAACAGCAAGGCGTGGATTAAAGTGCACCTGCAAGCAGGCACAGGGGCCTGAGGTTAGATCCCCAGGCCTGCCATGCCAACCCCGCCCCCGGCAATTGAGAGGGCAATTGAGGCTGGGCATGGAGGTATGCGCCTGTAATCCCAGCTCTTGGCAGACTGTAAACAGGCTGATCACTATGAGTCTGATCTAGTAGTAATACCCTGAACACCCTGTAGATCCTTCCCTAAAAATACAGAAAAAAAATAGCAAGTTGTTATTGCTCACATAAGAACTTCTTGCAGATATTGACACTGGGTAGCCATTAGCTAGCTAACAGCCGGTGATAAAGAATGATGATTTCCCTTATTTCCCAGTGTCTCTGGGCATTTCTGATTTAGTTCTGGAAAAGAATGTAGATTGGAATTAGAGTGTAGAACAAGAAATAAAGAATTTTTAACTAAGTTATTGATCTCAAACACTGTATGTTTAACCTTGAATAAACAAGCTGGAATCTGTATTTTCCTATGAACTGTCAAGTAAACATAATGTTCAGTGTTTGCCTCAGTTAATAGCATGACTAAGGAGGAAGTGAAATACCTTTGAGAACTGTGGCCTCAAGCTTTACACGTAAGGGAAATTGCATGCACCATCTGAAAGAAGAATATAATTCTTCCTTTCCTTTCCTTTCCTTTCCTTTCCTTTCCTTTCCTTTCCTTTCCTTTCCCTTTCTTTCTTTCTCTTTCTTTCTTTCTTTCTTTCTTTTTCTTTCTCTTTCTTTCTTTCTTTCTTTCTTTCTTTTTCTTTCTCTTTCTTTCTTTCTTTCTTTCTTTCTTTCTTTCTTTCTTTCTTTCTTTCTTTCTTTCTTTCTTTCTTGAACTCAGGACCTTATGCTTGCCAAGCAAGCACTTATTCCACTGAGCTATCTCCCTGGCCCCCTGAATATAATTCTTTTTTTGTTTTGTTTTTTATTAATTTTAATGAGAAAGAAATAGCAATGAGACAGTTTCAAAACAGCTTAGTAGGACAGTTACAATAATTAATACATTGCATATTGTCTTCATAGTAGTTATTCAGAGTACAAGATGCAGACATGATATCTTGTCTAAACACTTTTAGTATAAATTGTTCTCATTGAACTAAGAGAAAGTAGCTGTATATCTATCATATA